ATCACATTAAATAAATCAGTCAACAGTGATATTTATTATGATTCCATGACGACGTGAAATTATCGCTGTAAGTTTTTTTGAAAATTATCGAATTACCTCCGACTCCGAAGAAGGAGGGCTTTTTCGTTCCAATGTGAAAATAAACGAATGCAGTTTTTACAAGACAACAAGCTCGAATGCAAAATTATCTGTTTATTTTGATGCACGAGTGTAATTTTGATGAATATATCCTGAGTAAACAAAGTAAATGTGGATTCATTTTATTTCTATTATATTTTATTGCACTTTTAATTTTATTATTTATGCTTATTAAATATAATTTGAATATCTTAGGTATGTCAGGAAGACATTTGATGTCTAATTCAGCATGAAAAGACACCTGTCAAATATTTTTTGTAAACAATGCAATTATCGTTGAGTGATAATTGCACACTGTGCAATTACCGCTGTAATTTTTCGATAATTGCACACTTCAAACGGACAGATTATCTTACAAAGAAAATATTTGCTGTAAGTTTTTTTGAAAATTATCGAATTACCGTTTATTAATACCTTTTTCCCTATGGCGTTGCTGTGGATGAGTGAAATAATCATATTAATCCAACAGTAAATAAGTAAAATAAGTTGAAGTTTTTTCCTTTGCGAAATGTACAATCTGTGTAAAATAAATAAATAATTCCACAATTCAGTTTAACTACAGGGTGTTCCGAAAAGATTGGAGCAATTTCCATTTGCATGGTGATAGAGAACATTAAACGGATATGAAAATGGTATACGTTTTAGCATACGTAAATCGATGGGTATTTTTAGATATCCTCAATTAAATTGTCATCCACATTCGCTTAAAAACGATTTTCCCAAAATCGCAATGCGACCGTGATTTGACTGGCCCGTCTATCAGCTAAATCGCATTAGCTGCGACTTGAGTCTCTAGACGGAACGCACGTCCGAAACTGTTCATGTCCCAAGTACATTAAAGGAGTAATTTGCGATCAACCGCGAATCTCCAGTTGCAGACGCCATCGCATCACCAAAACCGTACCTTAAATCTGCCTATACTAGTTATTTAAAATGAAAATGGATAGTTTAATTAATATTGCAATTTATTATTGAAACTACGGTTTACGAAATTACATTAATACAGTCTGGAAGGTTACGGATATATTTGAGGCCAGTAGCAAAAGCTAGTGAGCTCTAAAAACCAACATTCTACTTGAAACAGGATAGCGTATTTGGGGCTCATTTTGGGACTAGAAAGTCGAAATTTAAAGAATTCGCTAGCTGAAGCTTTGAAACCTCGAACAACAAATATGCTTAATTTCCTATAAATGTTATCATAAAATTGACATACTCTTAAACACTTAAAAAATACCTATCAGTGTTAAAGCATTGCAGGGCGCAAATTAAAAAATCTGTACAATACAAATACAAATTTTAATTTAATAAAAAAGATTTGCAAATTAGACTTACTACTATAATAATACAATTAAAATGGTTTAAAATGAGGTTACAAAAGTTTGGCTTAAATTATCGACCTTCATTTTAATGAAAATTAAGTGAAATTGAGTTAGTGATGTAGGACGTAGTGGCCACTTTCCAAACCATATATAAAACTGAAAATTATGAAGCGATTTTACAAATTTCCGATTAGGAAGATAATTATCTGGGAAAATTGCATCTCTTTCGGCAACAGAATTTCATTCAAATTATCTAACATATAGCCAGTCATTTAGTAGTAGCAAGTGTTATTGACATGCCGGCAGCCAATAATACTATTCTTTGAAATCCGAAACTCTATCTACTGTAATTGTGAAAATACAGAACTTTTATGACTTAGTGTTTACTCATTAAAGTGCGGACTTTTGAACTGGTCTCGTCAATTATTACATGATACTCTAGACTTACAAGATCAGTTCAAAAAATATCCCCGTCAAAGGGTATCAAATGTTCGCCGAGTGAATTTTTTGTTGCATCATGTCCAGCAATATGTCGGAGTACTGCTGCATCAGATCTATGACCGATTTCGATCCGCTGGCACCTTTTGACACTAAATCATTCCATTTCTTAATGGTATCGGTTTGATTCACATCAATATTACCATTATTCTGCTTGAATTCATTGAAAATACAATCGTGGACAATCTGGAAAAATCATTTTGTTAGATTTAATTAGGAAAACAGGTTTGGGTTATTTCTTGTAAAGCTTCGAAATCAACCAGCTTCGTTTATTGGTTGTACATAGAAGAACGAATGAAATAGACCATGCTGCTGTTAATTATATAATATGATTTTTGTAAAACTCCGTACGAATCAAAATTAGCAACGTCACAAAAATGTTTAAATTACGATTAATAAATAAAATTATTATATCTCAGTTTTTCTACTTTCTGTGCATTTTGCAAGTTTCTTAAAGTGCAAATGATAATATTGGAAGTATAAATAAATGGCGAATAGAAAGAAGTAAAAAGTCGTAAATAGTGTTAGCAGTTAGACATCAATATGAACCGGTCGCCTCTAAAAAACCATCTGTTGGATTGATCCTGTTCTGAGATGAGAGAAAAATATTGTATTTTTACAGCGTACCTTATGACTTTTAATCACAGACATTTTGATACGATCCATAGCTTCAGGTTGCGATTCTCCAGCATCTTCGTTTTCTTTGAACCTCTGGTAGATCTTCACAACGTTGTCGATTGTCGTTACCAACTTTCGGCTGACCTCTTCAGAAAGTCGATTCGAAACTGAAAATGGCGAATTTTTCAAAACATTGCTAATCTAGTAAAATTTAAAAACTTACACTCGATGGATGAAAGATCGACATTTTCGCTGCACAAATCGAGCTCGTCGTTCGCTGTACTGGCGTCAAAGTGCATCGAATGTCGTGAAGCTGGAACAAAGTGTTGTGTTGTTATGTCAAATTAAGGATACCAATTTAGTGCAACTAGCTTAGCTTCCAAAGGTGTGTTTTTGGGAAGATAACATTTAAAGTAAGTATTAACAGTTTCATAAAAAAAAATAGTTAAAATTTGCTTTTCTGTTTCTTCGCGTCATTTTCAAGTTAAAATTTCCTAAAGAAAATTTGCTAGTCAAGAGCAGCTTGATACTGATGCAGGAAAAATGTCATGAAACAAGTTCAATATTGGGAGCTCAATTTCCAAGCTATCGATAGCTTAATAATTAAAATAAATACCCCGTGGGCCGAAAAACAAGAAAACGCATTCTTTAAATCGACCCGTCCGTGTAAACTGAGCCGATAGGACAAAGTCAACTGTAAAATAGTAATTGTCGACACTTAATTTCAATCACAGTTTGATAAATTATGTTAAGAACTACATAATTTGGATATGAAATGATTTTTTTCATTTTCAAATTCAACTTTACTCTGAATTTGAACCGAACTCTTATTTAGACATAAAATAACTACTTTGTCGACACTTAATTTTTCACCTGACGCTTAAAACTTCACCAAGTTTCTGCGGTAAAAATTAACATAATCAGTAAGAAATTGCTTCCATGAGTGTATTTTTATAAATAAATAATTCAATAGCTTTCAGCTGTTTCTTCCATCTGATTTCGATCTAAGTATTACACTGGTGACTTTAAACTTTTTTAACTTTAAAGCTCTTTAACTGATAAAAATACGAATTTTAATTGAAACATAAATATTTCTATACAATTACAACAACGCGGGAGCAATATTGATTGTTGCAAACTTTCCGTTTATAAAGGAAAAAACGTAGCACTAATTTATGAAAATTTATTTATTTTACCCCTTTTCGGATCCTTATTGTTCATATATCCATGACTATTTTCAAAGTTCTGTTGTCTGCTCATTCTTGGCGGTACTTGTGGTTTCTTTGGAGCCTCCTCGTCGTCTGAAGTCGATACGTTGTCTATCCCAACTTGACTAAGATTACCTGCAGAAATCCGAACGTTTTGTAATTTATTTTTAATGTGGCACAGCTGAACTTCAAAGTTTTGTCAAACAAACAATAAACATTTGATTCTTGAAATAAACAATAATTGACGTTTCCAGAGTTTTAAACAGTTATACGGCATTAAAAAAATATCTAAAATTTACAGATTTGCATCGCACATTGAAATTTTTTTTTTTTAAATATGTAATATTTGTATAAAAAACACTTTACACATCTAATTTCATTTATAAATAATGTATATTAATGTGTTTTTGGACAAGGCAAAATTCTTCAGTTGTAATAGAATAAACGAACAAAAAAATACTTGTTGAAAAGTTAGAATATAATTACACAGTCATAACTACATATCTAATAAATAAAGCTTTTCCAAAATGTTTATTAAGTGGTGATTTAGTCATTTATTGCCCAAGTCTGAAACAAATGTTGAACATTTCCTTTCCGAAGCGAACTGAGCATTGAAACTCATGTCGAACTTATAAACAAATATCTTTATCCAGAAATAAACATGGCTCGATTATAGGTCACACCTAACAATTCCACTACTTAAAACTTTTAATAACTTTAAAATCAAAGTAAAACTAAATTAATCTTCAAAAATACGTAAATAAAAAAATACAAAAAAACGATGGAAAAATATGATTATCAATATCGATTTTGTAAAACTAAAGAAGGGTTTGAAAAGAAGGTCAAACTGAAGAAGACAGCTTTGGAATGCATTGAAATCAAACAGCATTTATTTTTTGAACTAATTGAGTTTTTCATGCAAATTAATGTTGTGTTTTTCTATTCTCATATATGCGCTTAATAATTTTTTTATCAATCTGTTGTTCACATCAGCGGCACATTTGGAATGAAACAGATTAGAAATTCAGGTCAAAATACCTTACTACTTTGAAACATTCAATGAATTAAAAAATATAATGTCAAATACAATTTAATATACATTTCGGAATCGGGGTCTGTATTACATACATAGAAGTTTGCAACATAAAAGAAAAACGAATAGACTAGGAGGGTTTCAGATTGGGATGGATCTAACGTGACATAACTTAGATAACTATTGGAATCGCTCGGGATTGGTGTACCTATTGAAAATATTGAGGTGCGCCAGTTTGAAAAAGTGGACTTGATGCATAAACAAACAAAAAAGGGAAAAAATGAGAAAATTGCGTTATTAAATTTTCTATAAGATAGAGTTGGTCCGATCCGTAGATTTGAAATGTTTGCTGCAAAATGGTCGAAAGTGCAAAAAACAAGGTAGTTTTAAATTATTCATTTAAAAATGAATAAATAACGAATCTCGTTTGGTATTGCAGTCAAGTAAATTTCTCTAAACGTATGGCGTGATTGGGTTATTTTTTCATTGCTAAATAAATAATTTAAAATTACCTTGTTCTTCACGTACTTTTTGCACTTTTGGGCATTTTAAATCTACGGAAATCGAACCAACTCTATCTGCTAGAAAATTTCATAGCGAACAAAAATGAGTATACATTCTTTCTCTAAAATGCATACTTACCGAGCTATATGCGATTGTTCCCGAAAGAAACGCGATTTTCGCATTTTTTTCACGTATTCGTTGTTTATGCAAATAGCACATCTTTTCAAGCTGGCGCACCTCAATATTTTCAATTTCTATATTTGATTATCTAAGTTACGTGACGTGAGAGCGATATTTGAAAGATTTCGTCGTAATTCTCCTGGCGTTGAAATGGATGCTTTATTAGGAAAAACCTGGGACATAGTCGTCATATTAGCAACCAAAAATGAGAAAATTTTAAGCAATGTAAAATTTTCATAACTTCTATTACTAAACGAGCTAAAGAAGTAAAATTCTCCTACTTACTTGTTGAATACGATTGTTTATTCCTGATTTGCAAGGGTTTCTGAATAACTTTGTTATGCGAGCTAATTGTTGGTCTCATTAGTCGAGACATTTTCTTCTCATGCGAATCATTTTCAGAGTCTGAATGCTGATTAAGGACCACGCTGGACTTACTGCGCATCATGGAATTGTTCTTGACATAGCGAGGTGTTATCCGGGCTGGCGGTGAGGGTTTCTTACCTTAAAAAATAAAATTTAGTAACTAGGTACAATTAAGGTAAAATGTGTGTGATGAAACAATAAGACATGAAGAGAGAGTAATCATTGGAAGGACATCAGTTAACAACAATTTAATAGGGTTGAAAGGCAAAATACAGATAATAGAGTAATTACATAGAAATGAAAGGAAAGAAATAGTTGTGGATTGCTTCATCTGAAATGTGTGGAATTTTTTGAAGAATACGATAGAAACATAAAAAGAACTGCAACAAGTAACATTAGTAGCTATTAAGAAGTTAATACAGCAATGTTAGTCATGCGGTAATTAAGCTTAGCAACAGCAAACACATAATAAAAGAAACTCCGCCGGATATTATCAAAACATCAAATTAACGATCAATCTGTTTTAAAGGGCAAAACAGTATTGACCACTAATTCGAATCAATTTATTGTGCGTTGTGTAAGCGTGTTTTGTGTCTTTGTTGCCACTAAAACTACTTACTCGGCTCCGAGTGTTTCCGTTTGGGCGGCACATTTTGCATGCTCAAATCAGACAAACTACACGATCTCCTCAAGCTCGATTCTGGACTAGATGTGTCGTCTACATATTCTGGAAAACATGCAAAAGTCCAACGGTCACGGAGATGAACAAAAACGAAACTATAAAGCGTACGAACACATGACGATACATTGGAAAGGGCGGGATGAAAATGTGAATGAAATGAAAAAATATATATATGAAGGGTACATAAATCAAATAAAGAAAATAATAAAAGTCAAGGTATGACACGAATACAGAATATGCTTGAATATTCAAAATAACAAGCATGCCAATCCAAGCAAAATTCAACGTGCTGAGCATAAGTTTAGAACAGTCAGAAGGTTTTTTAGAATTCCGAAAAAGTTTTAAGATGCCGACAAAACATTAAAATAATTATGAATATTGAAGTAATTTATTTATTAAAAAAAAACTGTTATCGAAAAATACAGCAATTATAGTAGTAATTTTTTAAAGTTTGTAATTCTAAATGGCTATAGACCATATCGGTTTTTCCGTCAATAATTTATATGTTACGTGAATATAGGACAACGTTTTCCAAAACGAAACGGTGGCGTAACTGTATTACTTCCAATATTTGTTCGTAAAATAAAAAATGTGTAACGCAACAAACAAACATCATTGCAAATACACCAAATAATTGAAAAAACCATCCATCTATTTGGAAAATTATATTTTCTTATAAATAGAGCACTATTTACAGACTAATCGTATCAATTGCAAAAAAGGTTTAGATGTTTAATGAATATGTTACTTATATTAAACGAAACCCCAGATTTTTGGATAAAGTTCTAAATCCTTCAACCTTAAAAATATCACGAATTTGCTAAAACATTATAAGAAAGGTCTCTGTTATCTTCGAACAATGTGAATAATATACAATATGACATTTTACTTGCTTCAATATTCAGTACACATCAAAATCCTTTTTGCACGTATAACATATAGTACACTTTATTTAGCTTACCTACTGTCTAAGCTTCGACTGTTTTATTTAAACTTACTTACAACATGCTAACACTAACACGTGAAGACATTCTTATAACAATCACAGCCATAGCTACTTACTAGAACAGTCCAACCTTTTTCAAATATTAATTGGCATTTTAAAGAGACAAACTTAAATGTTTAAACTTTTTTCGCTTGCAAGTTCTGGCAATGTTCAATATGCAGGCAATTTACCCTTACGAGAAATAAAGGAATATTTAGTGGTGCACACTAAAATTGATGTCTTTGTAAACCGTACAAATATTTGTGTATCGTTTGTACATTAAAGTTAAATTATATCATCGGTTTTAATCCAGAAAAATTAAAATCGAGGCAAACATAAAATAATTTGAAATGCCAGTAGAGCTTCCAAATATGTTGTTTCGATTTCGTTAATTAATTACATTAATTAAGTGGTTTGTCGGTGTTTCAATTCAAACACTCTGTAAATGTATGTATATAAACAAGCATTTTTTTCAGTTCCGTTAGATTGGCCAAGAACTTGGCAATAATTTTCAAAAAGGTTGGTCTTACATTGACATGCTAAAAAAAGCGTTTTATACAATCTATAACGGTTCATGCAAAATCTAAGTTTTGTGATAAAAACGAACTGCGAGACAAATCGTGATAGAGCTTCATTATCACCTTCACTTTTATTCCTGTCGTCCCTTTGATCATTCTGATTCATTTTCGAATTTACATTGTCATTATTACGGTCAAAGTTCAGTCTTCTCTCCACGAAACTTGGTAAGCTCAAATTTCTTCTTCGGTATTTTATGTGAGTAGCTTGTAGCTTTGTCAAATCGTTATAGTAGCTTTGAGACGTAGTAAGGCTTTCAAACATTGAAGATAGGGCTTTCACCTTACTTCTCGAAACGTTTTTCTTGTATATGTCGACTAAGGTGTTAATTTTATGGATTTTTCGCAGTATCCCATTAAGGATTTTTATGTTTTGAAGAGCTGTAGCTATTTTGTCTTGCGGAGATATTTTAGACCCTTGTTTTTCCAATTGCTAAAAATGAAAATTAACATTTTTCTTGTAATCAACTATTTTTTTACGCAATCTAATACCTCATCAGTTTCCGCTTGGCAATGCATTTGCTTCTTTAACACATTTTCCACTTGCAAGGCAGTGTTTTTATTCAAGCAAGCGCCTTTATTCCACACGTTTACTTCCAAACTATCAAACACATTCCTATTAAGCTCGGCATCGGAGGAATAATGCCCTTCATTGTTTAAATTTACGTCCAAGGAATCTAAATCCATCTTGGACGGAGGTGATTTTTTATCTAAGCTGTCATAAAGCTCACTTAAAATGATATTTTGACGGTCGGAATTTTGCAAGTATCCACTACAAGCGCTAAAAGATTATAATGTGTTTTAACTGGCATTTTCGATTAAAAAAATACACCAAGCAAACTAGTTATACCTATCTCCCCCTGTTACTAGCCTCACATTACTTTTGGAAAAAGTAGATCCAGCTTCAACTTCCATGTCCACGTTTTTTTCCTTAAAACGCAATTCTAAAGTATTCTCCCCAGCAAATACCAGTTCTTGAAATTCACGCTTGCGATTGTTTAAAATATTCCCATTATCTTGAGCTGAAACGCCGTGATCATCAGTTATGTGAAACTAAATAAGTTTTATAGCAAATAAATTCTACTAAAACTGAACAAAATATATCGCCTCAAATGTGTGTTTTATCAAAATCTATAGTAAACTGACCGTCCGGCGTCTCACCGTTACTACTTTTCTTGTAAAAGTCTTCTTTTCGAATATATTCATACGTCGTTTTTTTCCTCATTTTTGAGCTGTGGCGCCTAACAGCTTTGGGCGGTTTGTGAGTAATTTTTTCACTATTATTTAATAGTCCCTTGGCAAATAGATGTCTATCTAAACTTGAGGTCTCCTGAAATTCCACAATAACTTAAAAATCGTTCTATTCCATAATGAATATTTACAACAAAAATCCTACATTGTCTGTTTGAAAATATGTATTTTTACCTGTATGTTATTTCTATTCGTATTTTTCTCAAAATTTATCGTAGACAAGGTGAAGCTATTTCCATTATTTTTATTGCCGTGAGCTCTTTCTTCGAATATTTCAAGGTTCTGGTCAGGCTTGTTGTTGAGCACATTACAAAACCGACTTTTATATTGTCTATTTTTCTGAGCCAAACTCGGTATAAACATTTCGGTATTATCCGCTTTCACCTTCTGTGCTTTAGCTTGCTTAACCGGGACATTTTCTTTGCTTTGTTTTGCAGTCGTTCTGAATTTCGTTGTGCTTGTTTCGACAAAAAATGCGACCTTAAATGTAAGTCAATAACATACAAGCAATCTTACGAAAATAGTTGCCACTCACAGGTTTCTTTCCCGAGCCCTGGGCAATGGTGCTTTCGAACTTCAAAAGCTTTTTCTGAAAGTCCTCAGATCCTCTGCCTTTCTTTGCCACAATTTCTTGTGGGGTCTCAAAGTCAGTTTGAGTCTGACACGTTTTCATATTACTTCTTGCGCGATCAGGCTTGCTGATAGCATTTTGGTTGGGTGGAAACTTTAACTTATCATTATTACACACTTTCTTATCATCGCAGATACCGCTAGAGATGTATGAGTGATCGACGAAATTCTTGGGGAGACTTGATGATAGTTCACAATCAATTTGCGAGGATATGTTTTTGGGAAGGCTTTGTGAATGAGGCATATTCAGGCTCGCCTAGAAAAATCCACGTCGGAAAATTGTACCTTTAATCTAACATGTCTAAAAAAGCCTTTACCTCGGCACTAGGTTGTTTTCGTTTGTCCCCAAATAATATTTCAAGAGGAGCACTTTTACAATCGCTCTCATTTGAAAGCACACTTTCTAAACTATTGCAACAACTCTTTGTATGACCTGAATAAAAATCATTATAATCCAAATTGTTTTCATCAGACAGAATACTTTCTTGGCTGCCTTGCATGGAGTAATGTTGATTCAAATAGAACGATTCGCTTTTTGGAATATCCTCTGAAATGTTTAATATACAAAAAAGTATAGAACTTTCAAAAATTCTGGAGAAGCAATAAAAGCTCCTTGACCACTTTATTTAAGCAAAACTTTTCAAATTATTTCAACAAACCTATATATTCTTCTTGATACTTGTAAATTTCATTATTCGACACACATCTTCTAGGTGGTACTGTCTTTCTACTTTTCTTTGCTCCATACGAAAAAAAGCTATAATCTTCCAAAGAATCAGAACTGAAATTCGAATCATCTTCGTCTTCTCCTTTATCATGCGTAATAGCTGGCTCAGCAGTTTTATCGATATTCTGATCAGTGAAACTTTTCTCTATCTGATCATATTTTTTGCTAAAGTCTTGACTAAACTTTTCGATATCGCTACAAATTTGCTTAAAGCCTTCATCCGTCGATTTAGACTCAAAATCTAGGAAATAACTAAAATATATTTATTAGAAGTAATAATAGAACCCGAAATAACTGAAATGTATTTGAGTAACATCCTATGACTTTAGATGCTTTATGTACATAAAGGTCCATCTTCCAGTTTCGTCTGCCAATACACAATTTAGAAGAAATTGTCATATTTTAGCATGAATTGTTCCATTTTTAGTATATATATTTCTAAGTTCGATCATAATTCAATGTTACGATATGGTTTTATTCTGCACTTTTAAAGACTGTCGATGCAAATTTTCAATTTCTCAGATACTAAATTTTAAAGAACAAATCGCAGGGAATAAATATGAAGTAAATTCAGTCATTACGCCGATACTAATCATTATTAAACGGCGAAAAGATGTGATTTATGTCAGAAATTTGTCCCTATTGATCCTTAATTAAAATAAATTAAATCAGTACTTAACTTATGTTAAGTTATGTTAACTAATGTTAAGTTACTTATGTTAATTAAAATAAATCAGAACTCTTGGCCCTATGAACCGTGAAAATGCAAGAGAGTCAAACGAATAACAATCTCTTAGCTGATTGACTTAAGAAGATCGACTAAATGCATTTAATTATATCCCTCTCATCAATAAGAAAAATATTCTTAAGCAAAAGAACCCAATTGGTTCGGAAAAAATTGAAATTTTAGATAAACTAACAAAGAGGCTAAATACCATGTGAAAAAAACATGGAATAAATGAAGCAACGGTTAAGACAATAAAGCGATTAGAAGATTCTTTTCGAAGAAATGATATAGCGACACTTCGACATATAGTCGTATAAGAATAATAGCGAACTAGAAAAATATGCAATTATTTGGATAATCGTAAAAATACCATCTACTTATTATAGAATTCAATGCAAGGATGGCTAAAAAAGGACATAGTCAAGACTAAACGGAGAAATCGCTTTCGGTGACGAAAATAATATTAATAATTGTATTTATTATAAATACAATAACAAACTTATTTCCAAGTATAAGACAATCTCACTACTATGACCATGCAAATAATAAAATAAAAATATGCAAACGAATACAAAAAAATAATAAAAAATCAGGTATGTAATCCCGATGAGTGAATTATTTAATACTGATATACAGGATGTCTCACGGTCAGCGTCCATTACAATATTTCGGGAAGTAATACGATTCGAATCCCGCAAATTTGGATAATGGGATTTTCGGAGACGCTCTTTTCAGATGAAATAACAGCGACATTATGCGACTTCCGGTTATACCCACAGTTGTGAAAAACGCCGATATTTTTTCCCTTACTGACAAAACCCAGAAGCTTACGACTTCTAATTTTATAAAACTCCGAAGAATAGTAAAAGTTAATGTTTATTGCTCGCTTTTCTTGTTTATCTCATTTTCCACAAACATACGAGTACTTTTCAACATTTCTTTAACTTCCTTAGATCGCATTTACACTCGATATGAATTATCTGCCTCGTTTTCAGCGATGTTTAACGATAGCGATTGAATAACACATGAAAAAGATTCTATATTTTTCCCAATCTCCTCCAAATCGACCTACCTCATAATTTTAAACTGACAGACGAACTTAGATAATTGAACGGTATTTTCTGTACAATGGATAACATTCCAAAATCTCTTACCTGAAACTCTGTCGCTGTGGCAGCTCTTCGCTTTTCTTCATTTCCACAAAGTCGGCGAATTGTCTTTCCTCGCTCACCGGACTAACCGGTAAACTTTTGTGCATTTTAAATTTGCTCAAAGTCTTATCCAGCTTTAATTTTCTGGGTCTGATAAATTCGTTTAAACTTCTCTCCGGACTCCTGGTTGCTTGCTCTAAACTGTCCCGGAACTGTTTACTCTCTTGGTTCAACTTTCCCGAAGTCAGTGATGATAAATTAAACACTTGACTGAATTTCGACACGTTTTTACACTCGGATTCGTTTTTGGACGGTCGAAGCTGACGCGTATCGACTTCATAACTCAAACCCAGCATCTGGCTGAGGTTGATTGAATTCTGTTCGAAATCACGCATGTAGCAACTGCACAACTGCAGATCAAGAGGGACACTTTTACTTGTGGGTAAAACGCCAGATTTTTCCTGGAAATTGCTTGGGGGCGGTAAAACGCCAGCGGTGCACACGTTGCAGGCGTCTGCAGTGCTGTTAGTCGGTAGGTTAGCACAGTCTAAATCGGCTACTGGTTGTGATGTGGGTGAGTTAAAACATAAGTTACGTGTTAGTACCAATAGGAGGGCACCGATCCTTAATTCACAGCATTCCCGATTATAACGCACCTAGTCTCATCGATAGATAACGGTAAATTTACAAAGATATATCACCATGTGAAAAATTGTCAAAAAGCGAGGGCGCGGTAAGAATACTGCTAATTTATTAACAAAAACAGTTAAAGGCGCAAACCCCCCGTATATAAACAAGGTAAAACTGACCGGAAAGCATGGCAGTTGACCTGATCAAAAATCTAACTCATTGATACGCAACACTTACTAAGGATCGATAACCACCACCAGAATGAACTAGTTTAACCTCTACTCTACTATTTCTACTCTTAATTAAACCGTTTAATGCTCAGCAGAATTTCTTTAAAATTTCTCAATAACTTACCTTGTCTATCTGCCCTTTTGTCTTTCACTGCGATGTTGCTCAAATTGTGTATCGATTGGCTGTATCTTAGCGGACTAGAATGACCCACCTAAAAATTAATTTGAAGTCCGTTTAGATACTCGAGAATTAAAACAGAATATGAGCAAATAAGTAATGTTATTCTTGTGCGAAATAATTCATTAATTTAGTAAATAAATCTCACACACTCACACTTTCTAACTTTTTCTTAGTTTCTGCAATTCGTTTGTTCAACTCTTGTCGCTTCTTTGCTACCTCTGGATCACTTTTTGTTTGTTTCACTGCTTTAATTGCCTCAAGATTCCTACTACTGCTGTTTGTGATAAATTTAGAAGAAAACGATGACTTATTACCTGAAAACAAAATGCACTTTAAAATAGCAAATGTTTCATATATTATAGAGGCTATTACTACTCTTGAAAGGTCATGTTCTGAAAGGGAGGGTAAAACAATGTTTGTTTGAAAACTACCTTTTGATAGTAGCCATCATTCATATCGTTGTTAATAAAATGGGATTCAATTGATTTTTATTACAGAGGAATAATTGAAATTGAGTGTGCGGTTTCGTAGACCATTTGATTGTTTTTTTTTTGATGATTTCACTCTTGCGACATTTACGATACAATACGAATCATATGCAATTTATTTTGCTTCTTTTTATATATATATATTTTATATTGAACTTCTTAGCTGACTTATTTGCTAACAGTCGAGTTTTCACCATTAACAAAACTTTTTAAATCTTTGATTACCGCGCAGCATTTCCCATCGCGCAAAAAATGGGTTTATGATTGAAGCTACATTAGTGCATCTCTATGCATGTGAGATAAACATTATTTGTTAAGTTTATCCAATTTTTAAAACAATTTCATCTATAATTAGAAACGCTCAGAATTCTTCCACGAAATATTTCTCTTTCTTTACTCAATTTCACTTCTACTGTTAATGCTAGAGCCTGAGGCCACAGCAATACATCTGCTTAAACTTGGCAGCTAAAATACTTAGCACCTTACCATTCCGCTTAATACCTGCATTAAAAAGTTCTTATTTTTAGTGACTTTTAATCACAATTTACTTTGGATTTCTATCTCGATCTCGTTTATGTTCATCAATCAACATAAAACTGTTTAGCGGAAAATAACTTACTTGGTGTTTGATGTTCTGTTTCGACGCCAGACATGCTTTCAAAAGTGGACTGCAGATACCTTTCCCTGCTTACCAACTGGTCTAATGACTCAGAGCTTACGGATAACAGAGACATGGGGTTCCTATCATTTTCACCACTTGGGGTCGAAGCCTAGAAAGAACCAGCATTCGTCATGACAAGAATCCGTAGCAATCTAATCACTATCAGCGCTTGTAGAAGAATCACTCACATCATCATCGTCGTCGTCCGAATCATAAAGTCCAGGAGAATCTTGTGCGATGAGTATAACAGGAGGCTTCTTCTTCCTCTGTGATTTTCTCAGTTCATCCGCATCGATATTTGTGACAGTGAATTCATTCCCACTAGCCGAGTCAGCCAAGGACGGATAATACAACGGCCTATGCCTAATCATATTTTTTACATGAAACATTTTACTTTTATCGTTTCATGGGTTTGAATCTACCTATATTCGCTATCGCTGTCGAGATCTCCATCGTGGGCAGTCGATTCAGCATCACCAATCGCGCTATCATCAGTCATTACCCCTCTCCTACTCTTCTCTCTAATGGTAATATTTGCTGGTATCTGGAAACATAAGTTCTGAGGAATTATTGCTTAAAATAACTACCTAAATGTACTAGCTGCGGAACTAGTCATTACTAGTAGCTAGTAGCTGACATTTTCCAATCATATTCACTGTTACCCGGTTGTATATTGTTGGATGCTCATTACGCCTATTGTTTAATTTAATGATCCAGGAAAACATTCTAACTTTCCGGAGATGTTATTTTTCTAACTATTCAATACAGTTTATCGACCCGGTCGACTTAAATTCCAAAGGAAAGACATTTCAAGCAAGATAAATTATTAGCAACTCTGCGAATGCAGTTTTGGCATCAAGGATGAATTAGATTATTTCACATAAATTCGAAACCTCTCAAAATTATCACCGGTTCGAAAAAAAAATGGAATGTCTACTAAACCGCTTTGGTAATCGTTTATTGGCTTTTTAAATTCTATTAATTACATTAATTAATATTCTTTATAAATACAGTTTTTCGTTTTCTTCAATCTATAATCGTAACTTTTGAGGCTTTGTTGGGTTTTGCAGACACTTCGATCCAATAGAAATGAATCAAAAGAACTTTTGCGAGGATTTGCGAATAATCGTTTGCCAGATAAATTGTAAAAAATCAAATTTTAATACTTTTTGCAAGTACAGTGTTCAATTTTTTATTCTAAAATAATACAAAAAAGTTAATTTATATGTATCTAACGTTCTTTGGATAGGAATTTAACTACAAGTTGCGAAATGACAAAACTTGAAATTGCGGACTGAGCAGTATTTTTTATTTAAATTAGTACTTTTTATTCCCAGTTAAACATGAGTACAATAAATTTTTGCTTGAACCAGCTTGTTCAGATAATCTTCCCAAATGAGAAGAATCTGAATTCAACTAGTGAGCTGAATACAAGATTTGAACATATATTTTATTAATAAAGACAATAATTTCGTCGGCAACATCCGAGCAAGAAATCAACGTTCGCCAACCTCAGACATCCAGGACCGGTTTCGAGTCTATTAGCTCTCATCAGCTGGGTTTGGTCTTAAAATAGCAACCGCAAAAACCTCACTTGAATGACCCTATGCAAACACAAAGGCAGCACATAACACAAATGGCGACGCCAAATAGTTCCTTTTCCTTGAAAACAGTTTGCAGAAAAGAAATACAACTTGTTGAATTTTATTTCCGTTATTTAAAAGTTTACTACCACCAAATTCGCGCGAAAAGTAACGTTGTGTTCAAAGAAAAACGCGTTTTTGTGTTTTAAAAGTTTGGAGTCCCAGGTAGACATTTCGGGTTTCCAATTAGAATTTTATATGGTCCTTAAGCTCACTCTTAATAGCTTAGGAGTTCGTAATATTCCTAATTGCTGTTACCAATAATATAGCACAATTTTCAAAGTACTGGCCAAGTTTGTGCTTATTTCCTTTCTTTAATATACAGAAATGTCTGCGAGTGTCAATTTTGCTGAACAATTGCATAATAATAAAATATAAATATACATTTAAACTACTTACTTCTGAAGGTATTGTCATTCGTTCTTTCCTGGCGTCCTGATAAGGTTTCTCTTCAGTACCACTGTCCAATGAGCTTTCCTTCGAACCATCTGAATCAAACCGTTTATCTAATATACAAGACACACAAGATATACACCTTTTGTGTAGATAGATGTTTTAGTCATTAACTTGCAATAAATCACATACTTTACTAATAAGTCGAATAACGTTTGCAAGTTCAAGTTAAATTTTTAATATAAAATTTGATATTAAATAATTTACTTACCCATTAAGGGAAAGGGTAATGGTTGACTGCTGTAAAATGATTGTACACCTAAGATATTTTCTGCCCTTTGAGCCCATCGTCCTTTCGGCGCCATCATTCCCCTGTTTAGAGCGGCAGGCTGACTAGAATCTTCGGTAAGCTGTTTTTTAGCCCACTGGGGCAATTGGCCTATGCTAAACCTATAACGAAATAATGCAATGAGGAAGGTTTAAAGAATATTAAATACATATGGGTACAAAATTTGTTTTAATTGTCGAAGTTTGACCAAGGGTTGAGATAGATAAAATGGTAAAATTCCGTTTTCGATCGTGATTTCCGTATCAAATCGAAAAACGACCCGCATAAGTATTTTCAGATAATTTTCTACTACTTTAATGCTGGATGTACTTGTATCTCGCCAGTACAATTCGCTTTCACATGTTAATTAATACAATTCGGATAGAAAATATTTTTGATTACAGGCGATTTTATAAGTGGATCACGCTATAAAAGCTATAAATTGCCCCACAGTGAAATTCAATTTTACTGCTTTGGATGTGAGTAGAAAATAGTAAATTTTTGTTTGTAAATAAATATTTCTATTATAAAACGTATATGTAATGTGTTAATTGAGATGGCAATGGTAGGGAGTAGAAATGAACATCAATTCACTAGGAATCTCTGTCTCAAATCTGAAGACATAATTGGAATAAATATGCTTAAAATAATAGGGGTCAAAAATTTGCAATAATAAAAATGTTTTTTTTTTTTAGTTTCAATCACATAATATTGACGCCCAGAATAAAAATATGGGTTGTTATTTCCACATGACTTAACTAACCTGTAGTTTCGATCTTCTTCATATAGGTCGAATGCAGAACTTTCATTGAATAACTCCGTTTCCAAAGACTTCCCTTGGCGCATCGCTTGTTGACTGAGCCTGGTTTGCATTGTTATAACCATATCTTGAGGAACTCTCCAGACGAATATACATCTAAAACAAAACATTAATATATGCGGGTGATTCAAAACTGTAGTTATTTCTTTTCAGTCCAGTCAGATTAGACTATAAAAGTATTATTTTACTCGTAAAGAGTTGTTAAAAAATTGTTTAAACATTAAGTTGAAAATCAGAAATTTTGCACCTACGTCTTTGACGGTGTTTTCATAAAGGTCGTTGATAAACAATTCGAGACGCGGGACAGCAGCAAACGTGGCTCACAAATTCCTCATTTTCAACTTAATGTTTAAAAATTTTACCATTCAGTAATTACATTTTCCTTTATTGTACGTTGTAGTATAACTCTTTACGAGTAGAATACAGCGTAAAATACAGCCTCAAAAAAACTAATTTAAAATCTGACAAGAGCTCTTTTTACATAACAATTAGGAATGAACAAAAAGTTATGAATATTTTAAGCTGAAAATTTGTACCACTTAGAATGTATACAAAGACTTTCAAAAAAAGTTATAGTGAGAAACAAAAAAAAATTTTGGTATTTAATATATACCTAAACTAAATTAATTATAGAAAATAAAAAAAAAACGCGGGTTTTTTTGTTTTTTGATTAAACAAACGAACAGATTTTAATTTCGTTTCTCATATTGTAGGTTTTTTTAATTCTTAAAAAAAGTATTAAACTTTTTAAAAACGCATTAACGGTTCTAAAGTTATGCGCAAAAAAACGGTTTTCGCACTTTCTTTAATTATTTGAACAATGTTCCACAACGGGAAATCGCGTTCAAACTATTCTCCCAATATTCTGAAATCCTTCTAAACAACTTTCAATAATCTTTTACCCTCATCTATTTAGTGGCCGGACAAAATCTAATCCGATTGGAGTAGCTGTCAAACATGCATAAAGTTTACGTTCCTTGAAAATATCATAAATGTATAAATTTCGACAAATCTCTCAAATAGCTGACGCTGAGCAAAACATTTTCATTACAATGCATGATGCAGCAAATGATGATAAGTTGATGAATGAACTGACAGTGAAAGTGGCGGAGAAATACTAAATTCCCAAGAAAACACCTCCAAAGAACCCAACCAATTTTGAAACACCCTACATAATATTATTCTCTACATGACAGTTATTTCTTTAACCATATTTATGGACAATGTTGCTATGTAAAAAAAATGTTCTTACCCATCTCCACTCGCACTGATCAATCGCCTGCAGTCATTAGTAAATCTTAGTCCTGTCGCCAATTCACTATGACCGCACATGGTAGCCATACATTCTCCTGAGTAATAATCGTAAACCGAAAGGCTTTTGTCTGTACAGGAGGTAGCGAGATAGATTCCCGACCTATCTAAAACAACCTGAAAAAGAAAGTCTCAATGTACTAAACTTATATTTTGTCAGAACATATTGAACTGAAAAGTATTATTAGTTATAGAAGTAGTATCACTAGTAGTAGAAGCTTCTCGAGATTAATATGGAAAAACATATTTTCATTTTGATCTGCAAGCGGTCTTCACAATGGTCTACTGAAGTTCCGAAAGAATCAAAAGAGTATTTGTTTGGCCATACTATTAGATGTTACATTTTTTTTTGACTCCACAAATCCTATGTAAATTAACGATATTGCGGAGAAAGAAGAATTAAGATATATTTAAAGAGTAAATATCCATTATTACCTTTATAAGCGAGCCATCGTCACCGGTACTGCCTTTGAATGTTTTTGTATGTCGTGCGGTATTCACACTGTAAATACGAACATTTCTGTCTTGACAAGCTGTTAAAACGTGCTTTTGTCCTGTATCCACCTCCATATCATACAGAGTCGTTTTGCCAGTAGCATTATGATCTCGAATAAATTGAACTTTTCCATTTACCTAAAATATTAATAAAGTTGCGAAAATCAATTTTCATTGCTTCAAATCTGCAAAACATTCCAAGTCAGCCTCACTTCCCTCACCAGAATGTTTCCACAACATACCAGTCAAGCGACATGCATTAATTTTCTCCATGTTTACTCACCTCGTCTAACGACCTAAATATTAGGCTCTTGTCCGCTCCACATGACACCATCTGAATGCTGTTTGAATGGTTTAAGAAACGAACAGCCGTTATGCTGGACGAATGGTCATCTAGCGTTTGAACGAAATCATACTCCTGCAATAATTAATAAAATTACAAATAGAGATTATAATAAATGAAATAGAAAAGCAACTAACCAGCTAGCGCTTTAGTTGTTACTTACATTTTTAGTATCAAAGACATGAATCAATCTATCTCTGCTGGCACTGGCTAACATATTATAAGCCGAGTCGTTAGTTGAATATTCCAAACATAATACTTCGCTGTCATGGGCCTCAATTTTGAACTGTTCCTTCATTTGAGCTGTGTCATGGATTCTTATGTTTCCTGGAAATTACGAAAGGGTTAGAATATATTATATTATCCGCGTCTATATAATAAAGAGGAGGGCATTGTAAATGTATTGTAATACATGTTGATTCTAATCAACTTTCTTACCAGATCTATCACCACTTGCTAAATGTTTCCCATCTGGACTAATTCGTATGCATCTGACCCCATTTTTGCCATCGTATGATGTTTGATCTGGCTGTGGTTTTTCGTTCGTAATTGTGCCCGATATGTCAAGGTCCTTTATGTAAGATAGATCTTTGTCTACATAAACTACTTTTAATAGCTCCTAAAATAGCTTTAAGTTAGTTTGGGTTATCTAAACGCGGTGTCTTCGCACTGTTTAAACGTACGTTACTATAAACATTCTGCTGATACATTCCTTTGCTGTTTTTGTCGGTCATTTTGTTGAGGGTCCATACTCTAACCGTGTCATCTGAACTGCATGTAAGAAAACTTCCCGGTGGCAAAGGACTGTTACATGGAGCCATTTCCACACCCCAAATGCACGCTGAGTGATAGAGAAATGAACCGGATTTACCCACCTAAAATTTTATCCGGGAAATAAATTCACCGGAGTGTCGAACATATCTATATCTAATAATAAATATATTATTTTCTTGTGGATTCGGTCTAGGGTGTAGTAAGAAAACTGAAACCCCTTTTTGGCTAGCTAATAATATGGCCAGCTGTGTAGGGGTGGGCAACTTGAACTTTCTACATATAATAAGCTGCAACAAAGCTTTAGCTTTATTTATATAAGTGGAAAACCTATGAATTATACTTAAAAATAAGGAGAGAATTAAACACACACACTAAAAATAGTTATGGAAAACCATTTTGCTAAACTCATTTTTTTGCTCCAACTACAAATTAATAAAGAATGTCTGTATCTGGTAACAGTTGTAGAAAGTCTACTGTTCGGTCAACGTATAACAATTTCGTCAGAATACTCGATTATAGCGTGAAAATATGCATATTTCTCTATTATTATTTGTAAACTTCATGCGAGGAATTAAATTGTTCTGAGATATAACTTATCTTATGAGTGTACCCATTGGAATACAGATATTTATTTTATTGCTTCTGACTCAGCTCCGACCACAACCCCATTATCATTAACATAAACGCACAACACACAAACAACCCCCTAGCACCAACTACCTACACTTACTGGAACGCTCTCTCTTACTAGGTTAGAGAGGACTGAACTCAGGACCATTCTCTCAAAAATGTTAAAGAGCTTAACTCCCTCACAGACAAAATCACAAAATCTATCTCTACAGCTCTCGCTAAAGCCACAAATCAGAAACAAAATTCAAACAAAAAACCCTTTTAGCCTTCCGTCAGAACTTAAACAACTCATTAACACTAGAAATAAACTAAAACCCAGGGCTCTAATCTAAACCAAGAAGCTATTCGCCTCACGAAACAAACTAAAATTCAAATAACCAACATAAAAAACGAAAAGTGGTCCGAGCTTTTGGAAAACATCCCAACAGGCGACACTGTCGCCTGGAAAATCTTCAAGGCTATGAGAGGAAAAACAGAAACCCATTACGCCCTTATACATGGCGAGCGAGTACTGGTTTATACGGACTAGGAGAAAGCGGAAGCCTTCGCCGATTCCCTAGAACGCCAGTTCTCGCTCAACATATCCCAGACTCACGATCTTGACTTCAAAGAGGAAGTGAACAACATACTCCGAGAAATGACACACAGACAAATCCCCCCAGACTACCCCAAAATTCCCCACGCAACACTCACCGCACTTAAAGACCAAATCTCCCCCCTTTAAACCCGCAAAAGCCCCGGACCTGACCGCATAACCAACAAGAGCCTAAAACTTCATCCCGGAAAAACTCCTCAATCAAATCCGCCCTCTAATTAACACTTCGTTTTCCCTCAGAAAATTCCCAACAGCCTGGAAAATCGCAGCAATAATACTAATCCCCAAACGCACTAAAAACCAAACCTTCCTTCAAAACTGGAGACCCACCAACCTCATCTCCACTCTATCCAAACTCGCCGAAAAACTCTTCCTCAACAGCCTCAATGCCCTAATCTCCCAAAACCAAACAATCCCTCGGGAGCAGTTCGGTTTCATGCAAAAACTTGACTCCGTTCTGTAAGCAGCCAGGCTAGTTCAAGATGCCCCGATCGCCTTCCAGGAAAGGGGTCCACCGGAGTCATTTACCTAGACAGAAAAAACGTTCGACAAAGTATGGCGCAAGGGCTGGATTCGTAAACTCCAAAACACACACAATCCATCTTTACCCTTCGTCCAGTTTGTGGCTAACTATCTCCACAAGAGAAAGTTTTTCATATAAGGAGGAGTCCCCCAGGGCTTCCCACTCTCCCCAACTCTCTATAACCTTTACACAGCTGATGCTCCAAAAAGTTCGCACTCCAAAATTGCCCCCTTCGCTGACGACACGTACCTCTTTTACTCATACAAAAACATTAATTACATAATTCCCCTTTACAGCCGCTTTCATATACCCACTTCTTAAACACAAAAGCACACTTACACTCAAAAACAAAACTTTACTATACAAACAAATCATCAGAGAGCACAAATTTGCTACGGGGCACTAGTCAGCCTCCAAACCTAACATTACCAGAATCCAAGCATTCCAAAACAATCTCTTACGTCGAATTACCCATGCTCCGTGGTACATTCGAAACTCCGAAATTCACACGAACCTTGGAATGGAAACCATTAGGGAATTAATTTCAAAACTCCACAAACATTTAAAAACCGGAGCCTCCTTAAAAACACCTCCCATACTATGACAAAACTCAACTTCAAAACTCCGACTAGCTTAATGGCAGACCCTTTGGGAACAACCACCTTGAACAAAAAACCCGGCTTTTTATCCCAAAAATTTACAACTCGTTTTCAAAATTAAGACGATTCGACAAGACTTTAGATAAAGCCAGTACCACAAAAACACCTAGCTTCTTCCAAATTACCATTCATTTTTTATTTTTTTATAATTTTATAAAAATTATTTTTTAACCAATCACTCTGATTGCATCTGCATTTTCAACTCACCCGTTTTATGTTAAATACATTCCATATATAAATGGAATGGTCGTTGTAGACGGCTGTAAGTTTGTTGTTAGTTTCGTCAAATGTTACTGCTGTAGTATCTGGATATTTGGCATCAGGTGGGGGTGAAGCCATACATCTGAAAATGCATTTTTTAACAAAACGTTTATATTAAATGTTACAATAGAAACTAAGCAGAACTCATTAATATTTCGGGTTAAAATGTCTTTTTTTCTAATATGACTTACTGAATATTAGTTCCAAGAGCTACATCTACTCCTAAATAGTGGCATCTAGGTAAAGTCGTGAGAAACCTGAGAGTGGTTGGATCGAAACATCTTATAATTCCTTCCGCGCATCCTACAAAAATATGTTTTTGTCCTACCGCTATACAATTGGCACTGGTTGTCTGAAACAAACGATTGTTTTCATATTCAACACGCATTCTTCTTGTTTTTAATGTATTTAATTCAACATTTTTTAAGCACATTAAATATTTTAGAACACATAACATAATACATACCCTTAATTCTACCCACTTATCTAAAAGTCTTCTATTATTAAATTCACACAGCAATCCGGACCTGCAAATAAATCATATTCAAAGTTGTATGTGAATACCCACAATGTTTTATTGTAAAGAAAATTGGCTGAATTAAATGTACCTAGTGATTGCATATGTACTATCTCCACATTCTCCTTTGCCACACGCAACATCACAGAAATAATTGTTTCTTTGCTCACCCAAAATGGCAGACCGTCCCATCAATGGGACTGCTTCTTTGTACTGAAAACGACAAAAAAAAAATATGCCAACAGAAAATAACAATGCATGGGTATGGTAACTTACCTTAATTTTACCGGTTTCCAAAAACCAAAACTTAACATGTCTATTTCCTACAGTTACGAAGTAACTTCCATTTTCTGAGAAAGCTATCGCCTTTACTTTGGTGCTCACTTTATTACTCGCGACCTAAAATTACGTTAACTATAGATTTAACTCCTGATAAATTAATATGAGTAATTTTTCAACAATACATTTACATACATCTCAAATTTCCATACTTTCATCATTTATTTTCTTTGTTCAATTTGCGCATTTTTAAACTATCCTCTTTTTGTCCCTACTTACTTTGATATTATTTTTCCAATCCCACAAGTTGACTATCATGTCATGTTGGGTGCCTACGCTGACAACATACTTGTTGGTCGGGGAAAACGCCTGAAAATTGCAAACCGTTTAATTTTGACTGCCATTTATCAAGCAGATTCTTTGCCATTGAAAAACGACGTACCACACAATTTACGCCGTATTTGTGGCCCAAAAATTCGGCCACTTGTTGAGGCTGTGGAATTAGTCCCGAGTGAACTGATTGAGGGTCTGATTGTAAGTCCCATACTCTTACAGCAGGTTGGTGACCACATTCTCCTAAAACAAATTAAATAATTCGTTAATTTACTGCTGCCCGAAATGACTTTGATTAATTTCTAATTCAAATTCTCTATACATATGCCATAGCTGTGATTCAGAAACTGTCCTAACTAAACTTTTTCTGAAGTTTACACCTTGGTATATTAATCAAATGTGATTTTTCCAACTGAATGTTATAGAAAGTGCTTTCTTGCGTAGGTTCGGTTTTTAACTTGTTTCAATTTAACACAATCAGCAGACAAACTAAAATGTCGTTCCGAGTTTATTATTATCCTCAATTATTCTATTTATTCTACTTGATCTAAGACAAATGGGATTAAAGTATAGCCGGCTGCAGAGTCGAATTCGCAAGACATTCTGTATTAATCATTAACTGTTTACTTATTTGTTAAAAGCAATTTACTATAATTTGTCGTATCAAAATAGCAGACCGCAAAAGAAAAACCCTTTTTGCCTGAGGAATTCTTCGTATAAAGTGGTACTAATTAATTTTCTTAGTTAGTTTCTAAGTTAGTCCAAATTTAACAGTCTAACAATGACTTTATTGGGCAGTTTGTTTCATAATTTGGAAAGTAATCTAAAATAAGATTTTACAGAAATGTTTTAAAACTCTTTATATTACAGATGGGCCAAATTCGCCTAGTCAATGATACCCAAGAAATTGTAGAAGATAAAGTCGGTTAAATGATAATAAATTGTCTCAATCCCTGTGTTCCACCAAAAGACGTTCTAAATTTTGCATATTCCCAATAATCTTATATAGAAATAGTTGAAAATAACAGGATTAATTTTTTGCACAAAAATTTATGGCAATGAGTTCGCAATGGGAAACTTAGAAAGATAATACTAACATAAATGATAAAACTACATTTTTTAGTTGTGTAGCTGATTGGATAGTGTTCACTAGAATAAACATTTCAATATATTGTTGATTTAATTGGTGTTTGCGTAAGACACTGAAATCTACAATTGAAAAACATTAAAACACATTCGGACATGTCAACACATTATAACACTTAGACACACTAAGCCAAACTGTGGTCAAAAACAAACATTTGTTGAAAAAATATAAAAACAATGAAAAGTACACCTGAAGAGGTTGCAACTGGCAATAACTGCAGATAATTCAGAAATGGCCAACTTGGTATCAGATAATCAAAAAAACAGTACTGGGACAAGTTTACCATAGCAATGAAGCACTTTATGGTGCTGGAACTGGAAAATGATCGAAGACAGAAAAAACAATAAGAAAAGCAATTAAATAAGAAATTAATATTGCTTCCAAATATTCAAGGACAAATCGAAGTAAAGAAATAGTAATAAAAATAAGAAAACTGCTTTTCAAAATCAGAAAATCAGAAATTTTATATCTGACACCAATTTTGTCCGCAATATTAATGTTTAATTAAAAACTAATAATAATTAATGCAATAACAATAAATCACTTTTTATAAATATTATCAAGTACTGAGTAATAATCCTAATCTTTACTTATAACTGTTACTTACTACTGTACTGTTACTTACTACTGTAGGTACTTACTATAGTAAATACCTACAAACCAACCAGTAATCTTACCTGTTACTATATACCTTCCACATGAGGAATAGGCAAGTGAAGTTATCGTTTTTCGTGAAGTATTAATAATGTGATTTTGTTGTTCAGTTCTTGTGTTGTAGAGTACAACGGTACATCTGCAACAAATAATACTCCATTAAACTACTTTATCACAATTTAAACATATTTTATACAAAATATATTACAGCTCTTTCAATATCCAGATGGATAGTTGGCAATAAACAGATCCATAACTTTCGGCTAAGTTACCCCCATTCAGGCCATTTAATCTATTTTACTGGACTTTAATACGACATAAAGCTTGGCAGTTTGCCATTGATGCCTTAAATAATGTATGTAGTGGGTTAGGGCATAGAATCGTGTCATTGTTAAGGATAATGTTAGGGTGAGTAAATAGACCAAGGAATTTCGAGTAGAATGTAGGCCACAAGACATATTTTCGGAGCTACATCTAAATAGGTTTCGGGATAATTACCGTTCACAGAAATTACGCTAATTGCTGGCATTTTACAGACATTTAGAAATAGTAAACAGGTTTATTTTTTTTTATAAAAAAATAAATACATTTTCTATAAATAAATGACAAAAATTAAGTAGAGCAATCATGCACCAGGCAGATATTGTTTTGAAGAAACTGTATGTGCCAACTATACTTTTGTTGACGCACTTGAGGCTGATCAAGGAGTTGCAATTGATTTCCGGAATGCTGAAGTATCACTTCAATTGTAGGTGAAAATAGTTTCGTGCTTTTGCTATAAAGACTCAAACACTAATCCAAGCATGACAATTAAAACCGAGCAAAAATTTCCTGGAAATTCGCTTTCAAATGCAGCTTTAGAAGGAATATGAAACCCGGTTACATCTCGTTTCATCCTATAAACATACAATTCCATCCCCGCCAAACAGCTAAATTTGCAAATTGAGTATGGTGAGAGTTAAGTAAAAAATTATTACAAATCAAAGACTCATTAGTTGATTTTGTGAAACTGTTAGTTTTCAACAGCTTGGTTGAATAGAGGTATTTATATATTGTCTATAGGAATCACACTCGAATTTTTCCACTTTATTGTTTATGTCCATGTTCTCATACCGCAGATGTTTACTTACTCTATATGGTTTTCAATATTTATGTATTCTAATTGGGTAAACACTACACAAAAACGACAATAACAGCAAACACAAACAAATTACAGAGTCAATTGAAAAAAGGAGTCAAATTAGCATGCTCATATTCATACAAATCGAGAGCATCTAGTGAGATTGAGCACATGGCCTTAAAAGACACAAACAGGTCAATTTACAAGAGTATAACACAAGAGAAAACGCACTTTTCCGGTTTAGGAATAGTTATGTGATAAATTATGGGTAAACATGGGAAAACTCATGTAATAAATACATGCATTGTATTACATGTATTTATATAATTGCTTTGTAAATGTAATATCGAAAATTAAATTCTGAAACGATGCATTTTTTAGACTGATATCCACATAATTGCAAAAATATTCGGAGACGCGCGTTTAGTTGAATTTCACCGAGAATATTGTTAGAATGTTTGTTAATTATTTTTGTAAATTGACCAAGATAAAATTTCTGGCATATTTAATCTTAATAATGCTAGAATAACGCATTGAAAAATCTTTTACTCACAAAGAAACCAAATGGAAACGGAAATATTCGGACAATTATTACATTTTGTTAATTAAGAACAATTAGAATATAAATTTCTATAGGAAATAAAGATTAGATAGAATATAAAAATAAGACTTTTTGTTAAAACTGTATCAATTTTGCCCCACTTGTCCAATAAAATCTGCTTTAAGTTAGTTTTGTTTGGACTTTTGGACAGTTATAACGCATCGATTCCTGCACAATTCCCGTAGCATGCTTAGGATTATTGTCCTGAAAACCCTCTCATATTGCTTCTTTAGACACACTTTATAATAAACAATTTTTATAGACATTTAAATAATCCAATTTGCCCAAGGTTTTATCAATAAAAACTACGCCGCCCACACCAAATGAGGAAATACACCCCCAGACCATAACAGATCCTCCCCGCAGTGTTTCACTATTGCACACAAATTTTAACTTTTAAGTTCTTTATTTTTTCGACACCTTTGTTCCATCCGACCCAAATATGTTGACTTCGACTCATTACAAAATATTACATCGAATTAATAACCTTCGGCTTTTAAAGAAAATTCTGATGCTAACTGTTGATAGAAACACAATTTTGTTACTGAGCCAGGGCTTTTTTCTTGCAACTCGTCAAAAATATCAATTAGCGTGAATACTCTATCTTGGAACAGTTTAAACACATACTGTTTTATCCGTAAAGTTTCCTACTTCGACTTGAATTTGTTAGGCACTAACATTAGGAGTCTGTTTTACTCGTCTCATGATCAACTTCTCGTCTTTTGCATTTTGGAAATTTTTATAATGCGAAATGCTGTCACCTGCAGTAGTTGTTTACGTTAAATTTTTCCGAAATGTGTCTTTTCGGAATTAAATATTATAAATTGGAGCAAGTCGAAATTTAAATATGGTTTGCATCTCATGCGACCCATTTTAATTGCACCGAATTTAATTACTGAACTAACGATATCGAGACTCGTAAAAACATGGCAAAAAGCGCATCAATTGTTAATAGTAACTGCACTATTCTTTTAATACTATTAGAGAAATTCCTGAATATGTTTGTGGTGTAATAAAATGAAACTATTCCTTTTATATTTAGTGCCTTTCTTAATAAAAGATTATTGAGTGCGTTATTCTAGCATTATTTAACATACTTGTAGTATAGTTTAACATACATACGAGAAATTATATAATCAATTAACCTTTGGAAAATAAATAACAAATGTTTCGTATTAGTGGAAAAATTTAAATAGGCGCGGGATGCCCAACTATTTTTGAGCCAGTAGAAGGTATTTGACTCAATTTGTTCTAAATGTCTTTTCGTTTTCCGTACTTACTTACTACCGTTTACATGTGAATTTATCTTTATGCAATATTAAATGTTAAATGAGAGTATTCCAATCTGCTCTCAAAATTACACTGCAACTGTGTTTTTTGATAAACAGTACCTGATAAACAGTTCCCTATAACCAGAGGCGTTTTCTTTTCCAACTTTGAACTATCCTGTATAGCAATTATATGTTATTTTCAAGTCTATTTCGATCAGCTAAAATTAATTATAAATACATCTTTAGTGGCATAATAACTTATTACCATCTGTTACGCCTAGGGAGCGAGCCATCGCAAAGAGAGAGACCGCAAAGCTATCTGAAAAATAGCTTTGCGGTCTACAATGTAAAATATTAGATTTTATTTTTCAAGTTATCGCATATCGACTAGAATTGATAAAAAACGAATGTTCTCAAATCTAGTCATTGACTAAACACCTCCTAAAGCGTATCATTATCATCAAAAATATTTAAGGTAGATACAAGATAAAAGTAAATTCAGATTGGTGGTTAATTGAATTATATTATGGTGTTTAGGCAATCATGTAATCCTTAGCAATGACCGCAAGTTATCAAACAGAATTAATACAAATTTGGCTTTTCCAAATATTTATCAAAATGTCTGCGTTTTCGTCAATATAGTTTGACAAAAACGTGGGAACGAATATAAATTGGCTTATTTTTGACTGATATTTTTGCGACTGTTGATTATTACCTCTAACAATCGAAATGTATACATTTGAAAAATCGCTGCTTAAAAGAGAAATGACTGCATCTTGAGTACATTTCTAATCTCGATGATTTATTAATCTGATTTAAATCAATAAAGGGTAATATTTTCGCATACACACAGATACAGATAGGATTTCATACAATCCCACAAAATAAACCGCAATTGAAAAATTAGAGTGATTTAGCCTGCCATATTTCAGGCACAAGTGTCTCACTGTAACAACGTATGTTTGTACAGATTTTTTACAAAGTCGTCACTGAGCTAGTGAGTAAGCCAAAAGAAACACAACTTAAGTCTACTTTGCGGGATGAAGCAGTCTTATAAGTGAATTTATGGAGACACAATAAGCTATAAAATTCAAGTGGATTCTTGCTATCCACTGCAACAAACAGCGGAGTCCAAGTACTCATTTTTCTGTGCCCAAGTCAGACTTTCAAGGATTATTTACTTATCCCATCTACTATTTACATGCGCCTAAAGTCAAAGCCTGGACGATTTACAACCATTTTTTAAAGACTTTAACGGTACCATTCATGATATAACGAATACACGCCACCCAGTATTTAGAGATTTATATTTAAATACCGCCATTCATTATTCATTCAACCTTTCCAACAAAAATGTATGACTCAGATTACCTTATTTGTCTTATCTTAGTAAAAAAATGACTAAAGAACACACAATTAAACTATCGGTTATAAACCAGTACCAGATCAGATCAATTTTGACTCGTTAAAAATTATTACATTTTATTTAATTATTGTGGATGTTTTGCAAGGCCGCTCAAGGCTATTCTTGTTATAATATAATTAATTGCATTATAATGACCCAGGATCTGCGAACCATAAGGCCTTATTGCCGATTTTTAGAGACTTAAGGCTTTAATTGGATCGAATGTTTCCTGTGTACAATTAACCAACGATTTACAAATTTCCATTTTCAATTTAACAAGATTGCTGCATATATTATTCAAATAAATCAAAGGAAATTCGTATCTTATGTTTATTTCACAGCTTTCCACGATAATTCAGGGTATATATCTAATGTCTAAAACAAAATGGGCACAATCAATACATTCACCATGTAACTTGAATTAAGACTATTAACAAATAATTACAACATTTATCTGTATGAAATTAACTAAAATGCCACAATCTGTAACATACTTTAGATAATCGCCAACTTAGAGGAAAAAAACTTGTTTTTTTCTTTAATCTTAATAAATGGATATTTTATAGGTAATAATAAAAATGTAATAATTTGTTAGTAAGTAATTCTCGACAAACACGTGATGCAACTATTGGACTTACTACAAAACATCATCTAATTTTTGTCTGTGCATTATTTAGATTCAGAATGAGTTATTAGAAGTGCCTAAATGATATAAAACCTACAAGCCAACGACCTTTGATTA